ACTATTAGTACAAATCTTTCTTCTCATTGAATTAAGAGAAAGTAGCTGCATATCTATCCTAGCTATTTTGTATATACAGATACAAAATGGTCCCTCATTTATATCCCCCTTTTTCATTAAGTTTTGTCAGAGATGGGTATTCCATTGCCATTTGATATTGTAGTCATAGTGTGTTATCCATAGCACTGTGCAGACCTCAAAAGTCATCTCTGAAATTGCTGGGCTCCAGCCCTTATTCCCTGCTCTATCTGTGCTTTCTACCACCCTCTTTGTTTTTTTTTCCATAATTTTATTGAGAAACAAATAGCAATGAGACAGTTTCACATCAAATTAATAGGACAGTTTCAATAATTAACACATTGCATACTGTCTTCCTAGTGGTTACTTATTGTACAAGATGCAGACATGGTATCCTATTTACAAACACTATTAGAACAAATCCCTCTATTCACTGAATTAAGAGAATGTAGCTGTATATCTATGCTAACAATTTTGAATACACAGATACAAAATGGTCATTCATCTGTATCCCCTTTTTTGGTTTAGTTCTGTCATTTAAATATTATAGGTGTATGAACTCAGCAAAATATTCCAAAATAGTCCAGTAGTACATAATAGTATTGGGTCTTCCACTTGACTGGCAATGTCAGAAGTTGTTGACCTGAATCCTCTACAGCTCAACATAACAACATGGCTTTACTTCTTATACTTTGTTTTTATACTTTTCTGCTGGATGGTTAAGACCAAGATAAAGCAAGACCTATGTAAGAAGAATTGTAGCTTTTGTATCTGATAAGATCAGTCAAATCCCTCAGGATATATCCTGAGACCCTGTACCTCAGTTTGTAGATCCTTCGTTAGTGTCAGCCATGTGGATGAGTCATGGCCAATGCTTGGCCAATGTGCTCTCTATGAAGGCCTGAGAGAATGTTTTCTCTCCTTGTGACTCTCCTTAGGCACACTCTACATCATCGCTCACTTTCCTCTTTGGCCCCATAATCTCCTTGATCTGAAAATTTGGGACACAAGTGAGTTACATGATGTTACAGTACAAGTTCTTATATGTCCTGAGTCTTAATTGACCTTGGAAGGCTAGTGCCAAAATGTTGGCTTTCCTTGCAGTCCTCCTTTTTCCCTAATTTTGGTCTAAAAACTTAGGTTTTTAACCCTCCAGAAGAGAAGCTTGTTGTTATTACCATACAACCTAGGCTGTTGAGCTTAACCTCACTATCTTTCTGAATATCAAACATCTTAGACTTAACATGGAACACGTATTTTTCATCAAGTATTGATATGTGAAACTTTAAGTCCCTATAGAATATGATGAAATAATTTTAAAAATTAAAATATATTTTAAAAATAGGAATGAACAGTTCTATATGTTTACACATAAGTCAAGAAATCTAACCATATACATCATGGTAACAGGACAGTCCCACAACACTCCTTTTCCCGTCTCCTGCCTTCATTCACGACCCCCTTCCTTTTTAAACAAACATCTGCCCAAAAGACAGCACGGCAGCAAACGGTATGTCATGACAAGCAGCACATATTCAGATGACCAGAATGACAGGCACTCCACGCATGAACCTACTATTACAAATTGCCATCTTCAATGCAGTTGCTTAGTTCCAGGTGTTAGCAAATATAGTTAGTCAGGGTGAGAATCCTTTCAATTAACTGCTAGATTCAAAAATCTTCTAAAGATTCTCAGGATCATTACTTTACCCATCTTAGACATATAACTGTATGGCTTTGCCTCTGTCATGTTTCCTAGCTCTTCTCCTTGCTCTCTCTTCATTGTCTAGTCCTCAAGTTCTTGCTTTCCTATTAATTGTGTTATAACTTTCTATTTGTATTTCTTCTTTTGAGTTCTTATACTAGGGAAACTATATGATATTTACACATATGTGTCTGGTTTATTTCACTTATGAGTTTATCTTCAAGTGGCATCCACTTCAATATAAAGGTTTTGAGTTTATCATTCTTTATAGCTGAGTAGTACTCCACTGCATAAAAATACCACATCTTTTTCATCCATTCCTTAGGTGACAGGCATCTTGGTTGTTTCCAAGATTTGGCTATCACAAATTGGGCTGCTATAAACATAGGTACACATATATCACTATAATATGATGTTTTCAGATCCTCCAGGAAAATTCCCAGTAAGAGAATAGCTGGTTTAAATGGGATTTCCAGTCCTAGTTTTTTAAGGAGTCTCCACACTGATTTCCATAACAGCTGCACCAGTCTACATTCCCACCAGCAGTGGAGAAGGGTTTTTTCCTAGGTTTTTTAGGTGTATCATTAGATTATTTATTTAAGATCTTTCTTCTTTGGGATATACATATTTATTACTATAAAATTTTCTCCTGCTGAGTGTGGTGGCATACTCCAGAGTCCCAGAACTTTGGAGGCTGAAGCCGGAGGACTGCTGCTCATTCGAGGTCAGTCGGGCTACGTAGGTAGTGCGAAGCTAGCTTAACTATATAGCAAGACCTTGTCTCTATTTCTTTTTTCTCTTAACAGGTTTTGGCTGTACCCCATAAGTCTGGTGGCATTATGCATCTCCATGTATTTTTTTAGGTTCACTTTTATTTCTTCTGTGACTCAACACTCAACAGTTGTTTAAGAGCATGCAACTTTTTTTTTTTTTTTTTTTTTTTTGTGGAACCAGGGATTGAACTCAGGTCCTTGCACTTGCCAGGCAAGTGCTTATTCTACTGAGCCATCTCCCTGACCCAAGAGTATGTAACTTAATTTCTACATATTTGTGAATTTCACAAGATTTCTACTGTTTTGAATTCTAGCTCCATAACATTTGATCAGAAAATATATTGCTATCAGTTCTTGCTTTGTCATTGCCATTAGACTTACATAAAATTTCTTACTTTTGTAACAGACTATTTAAGATGATAATAGCTTAACTTTGATCTTATACAAAAACTCTACACTTCTATTTCCAAATTCACACAGCTTATAATTTTGAGGTCAAAATTTGGATCTGTGTTAGTTTATTTTCTGTCGCTACAGTGAAATACCTGAGTCTGGATAGTTCAAGAAAGAAAATAGATTATTTTGCCCATAGTTACTTTGACTAAAATTTGAAACACCAGGGGTTCTTGTGAGAACCTCCCTGGCTATGTCACCTCAAGGTGACTGTCATCAAGGTGGGGTACACTTGAGCAGGAGCTATCACAAGCCAGGCAGCTCAGCACTGTCCAGTCACACTGGGGACCATGTGCTGGTCTGACACATGTGCCTGGGGTGTATGCTCAAACACATCCAAGCAGCACATTTTTGTCATTTGTATCACTTAACAATTTATACACTATAGTTATTTTTATTAATTTTGTCTTTTAATCTTCATATGGAATAGAATTGTTTCAATAAGACCATCATAATACTAGAATATAACTATACTGAATACAACTATCCATTACTTACATCATTGAGTTTTATACTTTCATATACAAAACTGAACTCTTAACTTCTCCCTGCAAAAGTAAAACATGTCCTGTAACATTCTCCATCTTAGTAAATACCTGGTGACCTTCAGGTGACCTAATGGTTACCTTCTTTAACAATGGAAGATAAGGTCTGCCTTTGTCTTCCTTGTTCCCTTTCCTAACAAGCAGAGACAAGAGAAGTAGAAGAGGAAGAAAGGGGCCATATTGATGGATGCTCCTGTCCTTGGAGACTGGATCTCTCTGAACGGCAGTGTACACCACTGCATTTCTCTCTCATGGCACCTTTTAGGATGTACTCCACTCCACTCTACTCCAACTGCAGTTTCTAGGAGTAGACCCAACAAAGACTCCTCCTAGTGCAGAGAGCTAATCTTCCTAGACAGAAACAGAGTCTGAGACAGAGAGACAGAAGAGGGGAGAAGGGAGAGAGAATATATATATACCTCCTTTTACAGAGAATTCTCTAGGCTACAGATACTCTTTTGTCAAGTATGGGTCATACCCATTGCAATCTTTTCTCCTCTCTGTGGTCACGTATCTCCAGGCAGTCTGTCTTGCGACAGTTCCCAAAGACATCGCAAGGCATCCATTTCCAAGGGCTGAAAATTCACAGGAACATGTCGACTCTTCATGTAATCTTCCTGAATTCTTTTCACTTCACTGGAAGCAGGAGACAAAGGAGAAAAAAATGCAAAGCACTCTGATTTCTCCCCCTAAAGAAATGCTCTTATATCAGTCCTTTTTCCTTATCACTCTCTTCTTTTCTTTCTTACAGTCTAAAGGATGTTATGTATAGCTTTTTTGGGGGGGACAAGGTTTTACTGGCTTTGAACCCCTAGTAATACTTCCTGCCTCAACCTCCTG